AAAGATTATTTCCGCCATTTTTCTGAAGGACATGAAGCGCTAAATATATAAATATAAATCTGTATTTTCTTTTCATGTAGAGCGTTGAAAATACTTCAAACTAAGCATATGGATTAATACAGCCTGTGGTGTTATTTCTGGTCTGCTGCTCTTCGTGTTAATATGATTAATTTAAAGCTTCGCAGAAGTAAATTGTTACACGATACGCTTCAATAATATTTATGTCAACATATTTTTGACTTGTTTTTTCAAAAGTTGAATAAACACATAAATAGGTTTCTAGTCAATTGATTCTATGATTCTATGATTTTTAATCAAGCTTGATTAAAAAACATCTGTAATTATTGATTGTGGATTACTACAATCAATAATTACAGATTTTGTCAGATAAATGACGTAATCGATGTCCCATACTACTAAATAATAGTTCCTTATATTGGACATAATGATTGACACAATTATGGGACAAAAATTTAGGATGTTAGTATAAGGGTCTGTTTTACAATGTATGGGTTTACCATAACATAATACAAATTATTTGGAAGATAAATTGTGCTATTTGCCACTTCATCGGACTCATAATTTATGATGGACTTTATGTGACGAATAGCGCTATCTGGCAGTCGTGGAACACAACAATAGTGTCCTACCAATAAGTAATAAATAGCTAAATTGGAACTTATGTACAACTTATCCGTACATTGTGAAATAGACCCTAACTGTTATGTTGTATGCGCTGGTGTGCAGTGCTTTTTTAAAGGATTAAATATGGAATTTTTAATATATAGCACAATGAGAAAATAGTAAAAGTCTTGCACAAGATCATAATTAAAGGAATTTTGTCTGAATTCCTGAAAATTCGTGCCTAAAGCCTCTTGATTTTTTGTCATTTATGTATAAATAGTATAATTAATAGACCACAAGCCCATGAACAAAAATATACCTGTGAAATGACCCAACGTGAATTACGCTTAGAAGGCTGTTACTATATCTGAAAATAACTCTGAGCACTATGCCGTCATTTCTGAGCGGTACATGTGAGTACGTGAGTGAATGGAATTTCTCAGGTACAAATGAGCAATTTCGACTAATTATTAATGTACGGCTTTGTTATAAGTGTATAGATGATTAAAAATAAATGTCGAAAAACCTAGTGCCGTACTAAAGTGATGGTACCGGAAGTCGGTGCAAATTTTTAATTCGACGATAGTTGCAGAAGCAATATAGGTCATTTATTACTGTACGGCATTTTGTGTAATTCCTTTTGGACACATATACAGATACTTTATCCGTAAACGCCGTACATATTTCCAGCGGAGCGGTCGAAAGCCAAGGGTCGCAACCCTACCCCTACACCCATATACCCTAAGGTCATTGTAAAATGCACGGCAACATGTTCAAAATATTATTTAACACGGACAATAATGTTTTATAATTATGCCGTCCAAAAATTATAGTTAATAATTGTGTAAATAAATGTTTATCGAAATTTCAGGATTTACCGAGTTCTTACTGCTGTAAGATTAGAGAATAATGTACGACAACTTGTTTTTTTACATAATGTTACTAAATATTACCGTTGTACTTTATAGCCGTTCAATATAAATGGTAACAAATAAAAATATTATGATAAAAAATATATGAAATTTCCGAAATTTAGATGATTTTTCAAATATTCCTAGAGTAATATGAGGAGTAATATATTCAAAGATTATTATTATTTTATATGTAACAAATATAAATAAACAAAAAAAACCAGATGCCGTACATTTTACTCCAGATTATTCTTTACAGCTGATAAAAACTTCGACGACGTTTGAGGTGTCCCTTAAGATCATTAATAACTGTACACGGTATCTGAGTATACTACCATAGGGCTGTAAAGTATATTTACAGCCTTATCGTACCAGCATAGAGAGGTAAAGGAAAAATATTTTAACAAAAATAAAAATATAATACAGGGCGTCCCAAAGTTATGGGACATGAAGGGAAAGTACCTTTAATATCGTAGATAGGGTATTTTACTGAAAGAAGACTTTATGTTATTTTTAAAAGTTAGTAATTCTGCATTCAAAGATTTTGTAAAAATTACTTGCCTCGTCTGGAAATCGAACCGGCTTAAATGTAAAAAAAACACCCCTACTTTTATGATGCCAATCGAAAGAATGGCCAAAACCTAATAACTTTTCTAAAGTAACAGACTCGTAGGGGATTTTGTTAGGCCGAATACGATAGATAATGTTTTTAATTTGATTAAAAAGATATATTCACACAGTTCCTTTCTTTTAAAATACTATGTTACTTAAGAAGAGTTATTAGTTTTTGGCCTTCTAAGCGTAATACACGTTGGGTCATTTCACAGGTATTTTTTGTTCATGGGCTTGTGGTCTATAAAGTTTCCATACAAAAAACAATATCATATGACTACTTTTGTTTTACGATACATATTTTTACGTATTGCTCGCACTGAGGCTTCTGAAATATTCGATAGGACATGAAAATAATTACAGTTGCTTAGGGATTCGTATTTCCTCTCAAGGAAAAACTTTATTTTTAACCGCTTAACCGCGTTTCTTCGCATATCATCTTTCACCATCGCTATCCACTTGCCACTAAACGAAATATGTGAGAACTGCTATTATTATGTCATTAAAATAACATCATTTTATATACGACATCAAACGCGACAGGCGTAAAAGCAATTATATAGTTAGATCATGTAGAGTTTAGAAAATATAGAGTCGAATGGCAACTCTCAGATATATTTCGATAATAATAATTGTTGACAAGGCGTCTGCTGTCAAAAAACATCCTATACCAGCATGTGGACAAAAAATTACCTATGGTTATAATAATTTATTACCTACCTAAAAGAAATTGACCCAATACTGGGGAAATGGAGAAAACTTTGATACTTTTTTTCCTTATACCATACATCAAATATAAAAATGTATCCAATGAACAAGGATAATTTTTGAAAATGTGGCGAATGTGGGTTTGAAATTTAGATGAAAACTCCAATTACTCTTTCATGAGTTTATTAATTAATTAAGAACTAAAATGGTTCCAAATACTCACATCCATAAAAAGTCTCAACCCGTATTTATAATAAACCTTTCCTCCTCATCTCAATTAACCGATCTTGTTCTATGAATTGATTTTAAATTTTTATTACATGTTCACAATATTTTCACCATTCATCGATCCCTATTTGAGAGAAAGAAACAGTTACAACTCATTTATCTTGTTTCTGATCAATTCTAAATCAAAACTATCCAAGTTTATTTGTAGTATAAGAAACCCCTGAAATAAACCTAAGTTTAGTATAAGTACATAATATAATACACACGAAAAATCCCATAAACCAAAGTATCAAGACGTGTCATTCCTACTAACCAGTTAACGCTTGCACTGGCTAATATCGATGATTGTGTATGATCTGATCTTGTTGACCAAGTATTCTTTGATAAACATTGAAAACAATATGTCTTGCTTGCGGTCGAAGAGGTTTCTTCGACATTTTCATCACTTTTTAAAAGAAATTTGAAGCCAAACCAAAAACAATTCCTCAAATTTCACTTGACAGATGAATTTTTTCTTTTATTGCCATATGCAAATCGCTAATTTTTAAAAAATTTTTTTGCCATCAGATTCTGGTAGACCTATACCATTTTCGCAAAATATAGAAAAAAAAACGGGCATTATATCGGCAATTTTTTTTATTTAAATTCATCTCTTTAAATAATGAACCAGTAGAGAAGTTACGTAGTGAACAGAAGTGGCCGGTCTATAAATTACAATATCTAGATTACCTTCTTTTCTTATAATTTGTAACAATAACTGCGGAACTTTTAGTCGCATACTAACATGCAATTTCCTTGGCTATTTCTGTAAATTCTCCATGAAATGACAACACACGGTTGACCATTTTCACACGAGTAACACTTATTGCTTTTAATTTTTTTGTGGTACAATGTTGGTTAAAAGTTTATATATTTGCATTTGCATAGCATTTGCGTTTTGTGAACAGGCGCCTAGACAACCGAAAATATTTTCTTTTGATGCTTCTAAAGACGACCTTCAGGCAAGTGAATTTTGTTTTCTTTTCGTATCGTGCTGTTTTAAAAAAATAAAATAAATAAAAATAAAATATGTTTATTATGGAACATAAGATACATGTATCACTTATTCCACGTCATTCAATTTGAAGGCATCCCTACTCATCGGCAAAGAAGACAGAGGGTGTAGGCCGAGAGAAAAAGCCGGCGTAAAAAACTCTAACTTTAAGACCACTATTAGGCAGAGTTTATGCTCAGAAAGGGCAGTAAGAATATAGTTAAAGTACTTTTGTACTGTACTTTGATATGTAAGTGTCGGTTCGAAATCGATACTACAGTTTTAAGAATTATTTATTGGTTACTATCACACTGTTTCCCCTATGATGAAAGCGCAGGCTGTAGTAAGTTGTATAAGATTTTTATTTTAACATAATTGTAACGTTTTGTGTAAATTATAGGTTGGATTAGATTTCTCGCTGCCTTTCATCACAATACCCATCAAAAATTCAGACCATGGCTCACCATTCGCTCATAATGATTTGGTAAATATTCTTATTTTTTTATAGTTTTACTGCATAACAAAACTCATTAGCTTAACTGTGCCATTGGTTACAGAGTTTACCAAAGATACACGTCAATCTGTCTTCACTAATCGTTGGAGGATTAGTGTTCTTAGTGACAACTTTTATTTCGCCTCTTCTCAACAAATCTTACCACAGATCATCTAGAGGTATGTGGTATTCCTTTTACAGTTTCGTAACGTTTATCGCGCTGTATTTTATTCCATCTAGAACGAAGTATCTGCGGCCTAATCGCAAGGATAATAAATAGGAAAACCTAAAGAAAATCATGTGCAAATTCATTTCGCGGTATTAACATAAAACTAAATAAAGTTTTCATCACATATTTATTATGACTGAACAGTACAATAATTTATAAAATTTATGGACAGGGACCGCAACATACTTTCTTAGATACTTTCTTCTTCGGGTTTCTTATAGAAGAACAGGATTTTTTGCATTTAATTTTTGGTGTGTCGACAATACCTGCGTCTGCCGCAATATACTGTGTCTCAACGTGTATGTAATTTTGTCTTTTTCTTGGGGCCAGATCGAAACATCCAAACGGTGGCGTATACTCTATGTCCCAAGTTGCATTACTGGATAAGGAACTCAGTGATTCCTCGTGACAGACGCAGGGGGGCTCTTTAAACGCTGGACAGCTATCAATCACGTTATCAATGGCACTCATGTCATTACAGTATACATCCATATAAGCACATTTACAAATATCCTCAACGGCTTCCGCTAGAGCTTTGCGGATTTCTGCATCTCTCTGGCGTTTGACTTTTACCATTCTACGTGCTTCAACTTTGGCTTGTTCCTCGGGGCTTCGTTTCTTTACAATCTTGAATACCATTGGATCGCAGTCCACATAAGGGTCTTCATTCGGTGCTATTTCCGTTAGGTCTTTTAATGGGTTGACCTGTTTGAAATTTGTTTATAAGCTGATAAAAATGAATCAATTTAAATATTAAAATAAATCAAATACTATCAGAAGCAACTTTATTTTAAGCCCAGAAGTTAGTGGATAAGGCGTGATGTTTTGTGTAATAAAAAGTTATATAAAAAAATGTACAGTTAGTTAAATATAAATTATGCAAATAAATATTTATTCTAACAGGTACCTACGACAGGTATAACACTGAACAAGCTATGAGCATGTAACAGACGAATTTAAAGAAAATAATGTTCAACACTAGGTTAAGAGGCTTCAATCAGGTACCTGTATGGTGAAGACGTCGCCTTTTCTTTGTACTCTTAATGCCGGTTTAGGTTCCAAGGGCTCATCAGGTTCCGAATCTCCGCCACCCATATCAGCTCCAGTTGCTCGACCCTTCTTTTTTTTCTTCTTGCTTTTGTCTTTATCCTGACCTTGCCGTGCGCATTTGAATGTCATCAATTTTGCAACACTTTTTCCGATAATTCCTGGTGCCCAACCTCGTCGTGGCTATCACACAAATCATAAATAATATAACGAAACTAAATATGTAACAAGCAAAGATATTAAAACAAACTCCTTACTTTCATGCCAGGAACATCTGTTGCGTTCCATAACCAACCCATTTCGGCAGGCACAGGATATCCGGGTTTTGAAAATGGGTTGCATACCTTATGTCCAATTGTGACACCTGATGAGTAGTTCTCATAAATGACGTTAACATTTCTAGATTTCGAGATATGTCAGGGAATAAGGACTTACCAGGATGAATATCTCCAAAGCTGTAATTGTACTTTGATGCCTTTTTCTTCTCTTTTTTAAAGCCCTCTTCATCGTCACCCATTTTATTAGTTTTATTTTAGTAGTGTATTCCTTCTGTCAATTAATCAGTTATTATATTTTAATATATGGAGTCTTAGCTGTGAAATAAATAAAATGCCATGGATATGGGTATTTATTCGGGATTGGTGGTCGAATCTGAAAAGGCTTAAGAAATGTAATAAAAAAATGTATTTAGTCATATTAGTGTATTTAGATATTACAATACACTTGGGTTACAAAATAAAATATCAATGACTGAATTATTTTTACAAGTTTGTAATATTTAGCATTTATCTTCATTATTCTCTTGTATCGCTAACTTATGAGAACCACAACAAGATTTGCCAGCGAGAGCTAGCAGCCGTTGCTCCTTATCACAACACCGTCTTTCAGTGTCCACATTAAACTTATTTATGCATCGGAAATCATGATCCTTTTCATTCTTCATATATTCAGCTATTGCTTTCTTTATCCTTTCGTACTCTTTTGAACAACAGATTTTACCAGCATCGCTGTAACTGGGTGGTTGTGGAGCTATTGCTGCTGTCTTGTACATTCTTGCAAAACCATCAGGAACAGAGCAAGGTCTACCGATGACAGGACAGGGGCCGAGTTGAATGGGAGGTAGCCCATAAGGCAAAGGTTCTGCTTCATCTTCATCTGGATCTTGTTTCTTATTTTCTTCTTCTTCATGCCTCATTATGGGGCAAGTGTTTCGATGTTTATATTGTGGGCAATAAGGTTTGTGTGCTTTACGAGATGCTACATTAGTAGTCTTCTGAATACACTCACAGTCAAATGTTTTACACGGTGGTGAAGGTTTGGGAGGATTGCATTTACAATCCTTGTCTTGAGCAATATCTACACAGTTAAAAACAGACATTTTTCTTCTGGACGAATCTTTTAGTTCAACGTTATAAACAAGAGTATTATTGTTTAAGCTTCTCGTGGATGCTTTATTATCAGGCTGTATAATATCCGTTGCACTCATTGTATTTCTGGTTTCACTTTTATTTTGTTTATTTGTGTTTTGACGACATTTACATATACTTTGGGTATTATTAGGAGCACTGGAGCCAGCTAATAAGAAATCATATTCGGTTGCAAGATTTTGAACTGTATAGCTAGAACCATATACTGATTCCTTAAATCCTGGAACTTGTGTAACGCTAAACACAAAGGCAGCTTGTAATTTATTTTGTCTATCCTCACATGTTTCTCCAGCGGGTGTAACTCCACCGCAACCTGCACACTCAGCTTTATTTTCCTCGCCCTGTTTATTGGGGCACTCATCTCTATGCCACTTGTCATTTTTGCATCCACAACTTCCACAAATTTTCCGAGTCCCTTCGTCTTTTGTACCTTCCACTTTACCTTCTGCTTTTTCTTTATAAGCTTCTAAGTTTCTAATATATGTTCTTACTTTATGGGCTAACGGACAATTAGCATTTCCACAAGGACCGGTTATATCGCCCATACGTATTTTATTAATAGGATATGCTTTCTTTTGTGTTTCTTGGGACTCCTTCGATTCGTGTTTACATCTATAATCTCCATCTTTTGGACCCATACCACAACTTTGTAGTTCAGTACAAATTTCAATCTTCTGTTGGGCATTGTTTTGAACATCTGGATCTTCAAGTGTTGTAGTTTCATATAAACTACCAACCATACAAAAGTTTTTATCATCCCCTTCAACTCGTTTACATTGAAACATACTCGGTGCTTTATTAGTTCTAAAAACAAAGGCATCTGGGTCAGTCATAAGTTGCTGAAATTCTGTTATTATACTTTCTCCCAATGCACTAAGTCTAAGAATGAAAGAGATTTCGCCGACCCTTTTACAATAACATTCACCAAACAAAGGTGTATTCTGTTTAATAGTAAGTGGTTCGTGTATCTTATTAGCAACAGCTGTCTCCTTAAGCATATGGAAAAATTCACTTTCCCAATACATCGTGCCAACACCCACGAATATTTCCACTTCGTTCTCATCGTCATTCCATATCTCAATCTCTAAAGGAAACTTGCTTAAAATCATGAGTACAGTATCAGGATAAGATGGAAACAGATATGATTTGCCTACTCTAATCGTTCTTGACCATTTTCTTTTACCATTTTCATCACATTCCATAACATCATCTTTTTTGTCATCATTAAGGGCTAATTGTCCTTCTTTAATAATAAATTCAACTTTGGGTCCAAATCTTATTTTGATAATAAGATTTTTATTGGCACCACTCTGTTCATCTTCTAAGGTGGCGTATATTGTCACTCTGTCAATGAATATCTCGATGAGGTACATTTGCTCCATTATCTGCCGAGTTCAATAAGTATAGTTGAGATTCAGGAAAAATAATCACACATCTTGATCACACTTTGTAAAACACGTATAACGGTTAAGATTTTATAAGATATGAAATAAACATATTCGTAATGACGTGAGTCCTAGCAAGTAATATATATCTAAAAGTAATAATACTTACGGATTGTGAGGTCCCCTGTCCTATTTAAACATTACTATGGACACTGAAAATTTTATTTTGTAACCCGAAAGCTACCAATTGCCCAGTTTTTATACAACTGTCATTGTATTAATTTCAATAACATTTTGAAATGAGAATTTCAATAGGTGTAGGCCATGGTTTCTTTTTATTGATGCAAAGAGTTTCTTACTAAACTAAGCGTACGATTCCCCACTCTGAGGTCGTACATTTTATCAGCGGCTACCAATGGAGTTTTCCCGGTTTGAGCTGGTAACAGAATTACTTGTCTATAAATAAAAATTGTATTGGAAAGAATCAGAAACATATTTTAGATATATATAGGGATATGGGTTGTAACTACATGTGTTTTTACCGTAACCATTTTTTTATTTTTAGTTTTAGTTTCAGATAACGTTGAACATAATCCATTTATGGAATTCAGTAAACAAATAATGGAGAAAAACGAGGGTTGTCTCGAAAGATTTGCATGTGTATCAAGTCAGCAGAAACATGACATGCAATATTTAAAGACGATGAAACGAATTTTGAGGTAGGTAAGATATTTTAATATGGTCATAGATCAGACAATGATAAGTACATTCATTCATATATCAAGTGTTTCATATTTTAATATTGCCTTCAAGATTTCTTAACAATTTAATTGCTTGTAATGTAAAGTAATGAAATTGCTTTTATCATATTCTGACCTATGGCCACAGAATTTTATAGATAGGCTCGCGGTAGATCCCCTAGATGTGACCGATAAAATCAAGAACGTGCTAAACTATCCTCTACATAAATGAACAAGAAAGTCAGCGGCAGTCCGTGATGACTAGCGCAGAGTTGTCAAAAGATTAGTAACTAACGTGTCAACCACGACTGCTCTGTCAAGAAAATATGGGATAAATAAAAGTATTAATTAATTATAATATAGATATCTTCATTCCTAAATATAAATAAATAGGCGGCACAGAGTATATGATCGCTATGAGCAAGATTGTATACCTAAAGGTGGAAACATACTCCTAAAACGCCACGCGACGCAACGTGTGGCCACCCGGTGCCCCCCGCGCACACCACAACCCACCCCCCCACACACCCACCACAAAAATCGGCAATTCTGTTAGCTGACATTTGTTTTTGGCCCCCCAACCCGTGGGTGGTGGGGGGGGGGGCCCCCCCCCCCCCCCCCCCCCCCCCCCCGGGGGGGGGTGGGGGGGGGGGCCCGGGGGGGGGGGGGTGTGGGGGGCCCCCCCCCTTTTTTTTTTTTTTTTTTTTTTTTTAGTGGGGGGGGGGGGGGGGGGGGGGGGGGGGGGGGGGGGGGGGGGGGGGCGCCCCCTTTTTTTTTTTTTTTTTTTTTTTTTTTTTTTTTTTTTTTTTTTTTTTTTTTTTTTTTTTTTATTTTTTTTTTTTTTCCCCCCCCCCCCCCCCCCCCCTGTTTTTTTTTTTTTTTGGGTCCTCTTTTTTTTTTTTTTTGTGGGGGCGCGGGGGCCCCCCCCCCCCCCCCCCCCCCCTTTTTTTTTTTTTTTTCTCTTTTTTTTTTTTTTTTTTTTTTTTTTTTTTTTTTATTTTTTTTTTTTTTTGGGGGGGGGGGGGGGGGGGGGGGGGGGGGGGGTTTTTTTTTTTTTTTTTTTTTTTTTTTTTTTTTTTTTTTTTTTTTTTCCCCCCCCCCCCCGGGGGGGGGGGGGCCCCCCCCCGCGTTTTTTTTTTTTTTTTTTTTTTTTTTTTTTTTGTTTTTTTTTTTTTTTTTTTTTTTTTTTTTTTTTTTTTTTTTTTTTTTTTTTTTTTTTTTTTTTTTTTTTTTTTTTTTTTTTTTTTTTTTTTTTTTTTTTTTTTTTTTTTTTTTTTTTTTTTTTTTTTTTTTTTTTGGGGGGTATAGTTGTGTGTTTCAACACACAACTATAATTTTCTCATAACAAAAAATATACTTACTTTCAGGAACGAACTCCTTTCCTCAATATTAAACACCACAGCCTTAGAAGAGGCTTCTAACAGAGGATTACGAGGGTACGACTGTCTTGGATACGAGCCTTGTGCTTTAATGAAAGAGGACTTTATTACGATAATGGAAAACCTCGCTGCATATCAAAAGCCGAATAAAACTTAATCCACAATCTTATATCTACGAAATACAAAGTTATTAATTAGTTAAAGTTTAAAGATAATAATTTAGTTCCTATATCCAGATTTGGCCCCCAGCGACATTTTCCTGTTCCCAGACCTCAAGAGAATGCTCGCTGGACACAAATTTAGCGCCGATGAAGATTTAATCGCCGAAACTAAAGCCTATTTTGAGCCTAAAGACTATACAAATGGTATCGAAAATTTTGATAACCGCTATCGTTGTATCGTTCTCGATGGCGACTCCACTGAATAATCAAATCAAATTCTATAAAAAAAAAACTTTTTCTTTGTTAGTCCATGAACTTTTCAGCCCACAATTACTTTTCATCACTTTACTTATTTTAAATTTGTTAATTAATCTTAGACACATAGGATTAGTTTCACCTTCTGTGAGCCTGAAATACTTCTTTTATATTTTTTTTTATATTTCTGATCATGTTTCATATGTATAAGCTAGCTAATCTTTTTGAAATGCATCATCATCATAGGAAAAAGATCAAAGTATTTTCTAATGAACCCTCAATACGAGATAAAGTACATTTGTACAACAAAATACCGTAAGATTGATCTTAAATCTAATAGGTACATATAATAAAACTATATACGAACAATTAACAAGATCTTTATTTGTCATATATCTGAAAACTTATAGAAAACAAGAGAAGCTAAGCTGTACACCAATGCCTGATAATAATATGAGACGGTTTTCTTCATTTGTCTTAAAATTATAAATAGGTAAATAAAACACAGTTTTTTTTAAATATTTTGTATAAATAAAACCAAGAATTGTATTCTTTCTTTTAATTGTTATTTTTATTTACAATAATCTAAACAAATGTTCTTGATTTTTTATTTTTTATTAAGATTCATCCCGTTTTCCTAGTAGGAGACCGGCGATTGATTTATAGCCAAGTTTTTTGGCGCAATCGAGAGGTGTGAATCCCAGAACATCCTTTGCGTCGACCTCCGCGCCATTGTTCAAAAGATACTGCACTATATCTGGGTTATTGCATATCACTGCCTATAAAATAATCAATATATTAATTAATTCTGATTTTACATTTAATTATTTATTTTAAAACAAACAAATTATTCAAAAAATCTAAATTTCAATTTAAAATTATTTTGCAATTGTTATGGAATCTCCAAGAAAATTACCGCCTGTGTGGCTTAGTAGTTAACACTCATGACTAGGGTTGCCACCTTTTTTTGCAATTAAAGAACATTTATTATAATACTCAAGAAAAAAGTAGAAAAAAAAGTAAAGTCCAATTAATTTTTCTTTGTTTTTTATTTGTTAAAAAAAATATTTTGATTGCTTTTTGCAGTTTGTATTCAGTTAGTATCTTGACTAAACAATTGTACAGCATCTTTACAATCTATATTTAAACACCGATTCGGCGCCAATCGATCAATTCCATTTAACGAAATAATATTTACGACTAAAGAAATCATATCATGCGAAATAAAGTATTTTCGTGTAAAGTACACCTACACTAATGAAGTTTAGAGGTACCTGAAAAAACTTACAATACTTTATTAAAAATACTGGCGGCAAACCTACTCATGACGTACAGCCTGGAAGTTTTAGGTTCGATTCCCGGCGAAACAACTTTTCCTTTTGTAAACTCACGAAGTATGAAAACCGATGTAATAAATACAATCTTTTTTTAATAATTTAACAAGTTCACCTTATGTAAAGCTGTCTGTCCCATTTCATCTTTTATATTGAAATCAGCGCCACCTATCTTCAATGACTCGAGTTTAGCAATTACCCCAGTTTTCGCAGCAACGCAGAGTAGTTCAGATAACAACTTAACATCCACACTCGTTAATTGAGCACCGCATTGCATTAACAATTTTATAATGGCATGATTGTCATATGATATTGCCGTGAGAAGAGGAGATTCGCCACACCTAAAATATTGGCAATACTAATAATATACTGTTTAAATTGTCAAATACAGAACACCTCTATCAGAACATTGTTGTTCTTTATCCATTTCCAAGGTTCAAAATCAACAGAATCTACCAAATTCCGTCTAACTTAGAAGTTCAGGCCCCTCTCATTCGAATTCCGTTATTCCGAAAAAATAACTTGTAAAGCACCTATCGGGTACCAAATCCGCATTGATTAGCGAATAAGTATTTTTATATAGTAACTACTAATAAAAATCGAACTTTTTAGTTGGAACTTGAAATTATATTTATTATTTGTAAAATTTAAGGCAATTGGGTAGGAGGCTCACTTGATGTTAAGTGATATTGCCGCCTATGGACACTCACATTTCCAGAAGGCTCGCAAGTGCGTCGCCGGCTTTTTGTTAGTGTTACGCTCCTTTCCCGAAGGACCTTAAGTCGAATTGGTTCGGAAATACTTCAGTGGGCAGCTGGTTCCACATTCTTGAACTTTGTAATAAATTTGACTCCCAAGTGAAATAACGGATTTTGACAATGAGAAGTCATAGTTCGAGCTGAGTCCCTTTTTACCCTCACTAATATTACAATTTGTTGCGCAAATGTGCCTTCAAGATGTAACTACAGATAACCAACCTGAATTCATCCGCGTAACATTCGATACCCTGTGTAAATATGTCAGAAATGACTAAAATTAATATATAAATGACAGTTTTGAAAAATAATACCTTGTCTTAAGATGAACATTAGCACCATTCTTAAGTAAATATTCTATAATGTGAATATTCCCTTTAGTAATAGCCTCATGAAGTACGGTTCTTCCTTCCGTATTTTGAGCGTTTACATCAGCTCCCATGTCTAAGAAATCGGATTTATTTGATTATATTACTATTAACTGGCATGCATTTTAATTTTAGTTTAGTAATTTTATTGGTGGATGAGAAACTTTAAACTACTTAGGGTAATCTAAGTTGAGACTAGGGTGAACTGTATCGTACTCGTATACGTATGTAAGAGTACGTACTTATCGTCACCTGTTCGTATGATAAAATAAAAACATTGACAAACAGTAAGTCTTAGAAACCATGTACTTGTTAAAAATTTTATTTCTTACCAAATTAAAAACAATCACACACATAAAACAGTCACAGATATATATCTGCTCTTGTCGGGCTTTATTGTGCGTCTCTCACACCTGAGGTCGTAGATTCGAACCCCAACTGTGCACAATGAACTTTTCAATGTCAATACTTTCTCGTACGGTGAAGGAAAATATCGTGAGGAAACCGGTATAAAACCCAAATTTGTCAGGCGCAGCAAAAAAATGCAAACTTAAACGAAACAGATACAGAAATCTGAGCCCCCTAATAAGGTTCTAGCTGGTTTTTTTACCGGCCTTTATACTCATAATTACCCAACATTTTGCTGACCGCCCTTGTATCATCATGTTCTATCGCATAGAGGAGCAATGCACTAAACACCTTTTCAGTCACCTCCATAAGCATTTTCGGTGACTGGATATTTAGACTCGACGCCAGCGCATCTATTAAAACGTTATCCTAAAATATAACTATTATTATAATACAAATGAAGAATACAAGTTGTTTAACGTAATTTTGACAGTAAGAACTTTAATATAATTTGAATGAATAAGAAATAAATTAAATAATTGTCACAGATTGCACTTACATCTATAGTGATTGACGAGGTATTCGTTAGCTCTCCTCTTATGTTAGTCATCATCATCTGAAATATATAAATGTAAAAGCTAAAGGCTGTATAGGTTGCGATTTTCATGGCATGTATGTAATAAGTTTTTAAACATACATTAATTCGAATTGCGTTATTTTATGGAATAACTTAGTAACACAATTACCATAATATTAAATTATTTCATTTGTTTTTCTCAGACGACCACGCGTGGTGAATGTTATGGCATTATCATCGTAGTAAATGAAGATCCGTGGTCTTTGTCTACCCCTTCGAGAAAAAGCCGTGAGTGTAAAAATGGATAGAGCATTATTTTTAATGTACAAGGAAACGAACTAGACAAATCATACAATACTTGTAAATATAAAATGTGTATATCTAAATCTATTATATAATATTTAAATATTTTTTCAATTCCAACGAGTTGTTCGCCTAAGATTAGCAATTTACTAAACAAACTCTTCAGCTTTATATAATATACTAGCCGTTTCGCGCCCGCTTTGCTGGACGAATTAAAATAAATTTTATGTTTCATTATTTTATTTTTTTTCATATTTTTATTATTCTTCTTTTTAACTTCCCGCTAAGTCCGTATGGATAAATTTTCATAAAAGTAAAACAGCAATAAAAACAACGTTGGAATTTAATAAATAAATAGCCATAAACCATCTAGGAAAAAACGAATGTGTGTTCCATGTCGATACGATCAGTGGTTTAGGCGTGAAGGAGCCTCAAACGAAGACCATTTTTCTTTTATATATATAGATTTTAGGTATAGAATATCCTGAGGAACGTTTAAAAGAACTTTGTTTGCTTAGCGTACTAGAACCAGAGTAGCTTTGACTTCCACAGCAAAGGTGTGAGGTATGATATTAAGTTGTATTTATGTATAATGTATTTCGTGTGTGTAAAATACAATACGGTAAAATCCAAGTGAAAAAAAATTGTTGTTATTTTTACAACGCCTGGCAAAGTGAACCATCGAAATTATTTGTACAAGTGATATGCATAAAAGAACAGATTACGACAGGAACTAAATATGGCGTAAAGTAAAAATAAAACGATGATTTAATAAACATTAATTTGTATTAAATACAATTTTTTTATTCAAACTGCGACAACTGAATTCGTTTAATCTACTATGTTATAGATATTCGGTGTTGCCTCTGATGGTATTATATTTATACCATCCCACGCTAACAATTGGTTTTGCCCGCGGCTATAGATGTATATCAGGAAAAAGTAGTCCCATAAACGACCTACCTCAACTTTTTCCTGATAACTGAGTTCGCTCTTGGACAGAACGTAAGAGAGCTTCGTCAATGCGGCTTCTGGTGTCATGTCGAAACCTGATACCACGCCACACTCTGATAGCAACTGCAAAAATCATTTTATTATTTTGTGTAATAAAACCGATAGTGAATATGCTTTCCTTAGACCTAATCATTTAATTCAAAAGCAGAAGAATTTTGTACTGATTTTCAATGTCACAACAAAAAACAACACAAAAGTTTCGCATAACTATCTCTAAAACTTTTCAATGAATTATATATTTCTCGCTTTGTTAAATCATATATTTATAGTTAGTTAGTAATATTACCATTTAATCAAACACACCACAACACGCAATACTCGTTAAGCGAGTTTGCTTATCTTGCCGAAGCCGCGTACAAATTATTTGAAGAAGTTGATTAAGCATGACGGTGTGCAATTATTTAATCAATTACCGTCTATAATTCGTAATACTCGTATTAGCGCATTTAACCAATACAAAAGGGCATTAAATACATATCCGAATGAACCTACTAGACTAACGGCTGGTGGCGACGTGTATCTTGTTCGTATATATAGCACCGTAAAATTGTAAATACCGTTAGATTGTAATCTATCTCGCGAGATTGTGAACTGTCGAAAGAATGTGAACTTCAACGTACTCCTTACAATTTAACGAATTATTATTCGGTAGATTGTAATCTATCAAAGGGATACCGTCAAATTGTGAAACGGAACGCACCTCGCGCGTTGATTGGTTGAACGGAATATAATAATAATTAAAATAATTTTATTTATCAGACAAATACAGTCCATTGATTGGTTATGCCCCGCGCCACCATATTTGTTTGTTGTGGAATGTAAACAAACAGTGTTTTGGTGAATGTAAATTGATGTCGTGTTGAAAGTAACTCAGCTATAGAATTAGTTATATGAAAATTGAAATTATTGTGGAAGTAAAATTAATCTGTGATTGACCAAAGAAGTGAAGCTTGAATGCTAACTAAGTAAGTGTTGGAAATAAAATTAAAATTTCATTACAATTTTAATTTGTGTTTGAGGAGAACATATTGTTACGTTTCTGATTTTTTTTTTACCATGTGATGTCAGAATTATTATTAAGTTTCTCATGTAAATAAAATACATTCTTTTTTGCAATGAGAAATAAAGTTCTTTAAACATTAGTAATAGTTATTAAGCCTGTTAAAGGAAATTAGTATTTATTCTTTTTGTGTTTGTTTCTAGATACAAGATTGTATTGAATGGCCGTTGGTAACCTTTTTTACATAAATAAATAATGGAGAAATTGTTTCTGGTATGTTAGGAGCTGAGTTATGCAACCAAATATTTTGGTACCAGCAGCGCATTTTCAAAACGTATCACATTTAACGGGATACCTGCTGAGAGTACTCACCCGGCCAGTCTCATATACAGGTGAAACTACAGCCCCACGAGTACATTGTGTTATATTAACAACAATAATTCCGCGTTTGACAGCTGCTGCAATTTCTTTGACGACATCTTCACGTTTCGAAGGAATGTTACCGGACCCGTAACTTTCTAGTACTACACCTGCAATCAGTAGAATTAACGTAGAAATCTAATAGAAATAAAATTCCAAGAAATTTATTCTGCATCCGTTTTTTGAAGTGAAACTTCTTTATCGGGGTTGGAAAGAAATTTAGTGTAACATTTTTGCGTTACGCGTCACATTTTTCCGTTACGCGCCATGTTGCTTTTTGAAGTCAAACTTCTTTATCGGCGTTAAAATATGACATATAGTATGTTTTTGACTTTGAAGTTTGACAACGGATTACATTTTCGAAGTCAAAGTTCTTTATCGGTGTTAAAATATGACATATAGTATGTTTTTGACTTTGAAGTTTGACAACGGATTACATTTTCGAAGTCAAAGTTCTTTATCGGCGTTAAAATATGACATATAGTATGTTTTTGACTTTGAAGTTTGCTAATCGCAATTTGCAGCAATTAATTAGTAAATTGTATGCTAGGCAGTGTATCAAAATTTACTGTGTTTAAAGAAATAGTTTCTAATAAGGTCATAAAGAAGTTTCACTTCTTACGTGTGTACACCTAGTACACGCACACATTTTTTTTTAATTTCCTTCATAATAACGAACGGTCGAACGACGTTTTTTCAGGAACAAAGACTGCTTACTAATATTGAGAAAGTATATCATACCTAAAAGCTTAGGGGTATTTATCATTTATCATTTAAAGTATGGTAAAAAATGGAATTAAGAATGTAAACTTGTCTTAACCTTTTAAAGTAACAGCCACATTATACAAAAAACAGCTCTATCGCACTTACATCGTATTAATCGTTAAAAAACATTCACGCAAACGTTGAACATTCAATTTTCCTTAGGGCCTAAAATAGCAAGCAAGCACCTGATTAGCTTCAGGTGCTTTTGAAACTGGAATGATTATAATTTCCTTTCGAATTCCCATGCTTACCATACATCAACGTTACTGATATAAAATTTCATATCTACCCTACTTAATAGTGGAGTAAAAAAAAACTACTTGTTGCACACCGGAACTCCGGGAGTGCCGGCAGAAGTGAAAACTTGAATAATTAACGTTGTGAATTTTTTATATTTTGGAATGGTTAGGGAATAATTTTGCACGAATTGCTTTAATTATAAGTATGTAGAATACAATATTCATATATGTACTCAAACATGACAATTTATATTACATTAAATACGGCGCGCCAGCTGTCTACTCTCCATCCGTCGTCAGTCTGACCAAATCGTTAATAATAAAGATTTAGACGTTTCGCAAAGTTAAACCTTGATGTATTGACTTAAGGTCCAATTCCACATGCATCAATGTATCTGAGGGAAGAGACAAATGAATTAAAACCGTAACTATATAGCACGAAGGTTCATAATCTTTTAAAAAACACCCGTCTTACGAATTTGTCCTGACGCGAGTTTAACAGTTTGTACCCATTCCAAAAAAAGTGTACAACGCCGCTAAAGAAGTTTTCACTTCAAAAACTGTATACAACTTACCTTCAATAGGTGGCTGACAAAAGGCTTTTACCACTGCGGAACTGATGCTTGGAAATATTCGCAAAAGTCCAACATTCTTTGACATCTTCGCGTGTAAATTACATTTTTCAATTGTGTTAGGTTTGAATATCGCCTTTTTATTCACTTCAAAGTCTATTCCTACTTCTACGAGTGGAACACAGTTTGGTGAGTCAAACGCGTATAAGTTGTTAACTGACACTTTGCGCGTCCTAGAAACATAAAATCGTACGAGCCTGAATATACAGGGTGGCTAAAAAGTCGTGGATCAAACGCAAATAGGGGATAGATGAGGTCATCAGCTGCAAAAAATTGTTCTAAAACGCAAAATAAATTATAACTCTGCAGGGGTTGAGCTTAGAGACCTCCCGTAGAACAATTTTTTGCAGCTGATGACCTCATCTATCCCCTATTTGCGTTTGATCCACGACTTTTTGGCCACCCTGTTTAAATTAAAGATATCATACCCTCTCTTGAAGTGAAAATGTAAAAAAAATACATGTACTAATTAGCAGGATATTATTTGCGTAATTAAAAATGAGAATAAATATTTCTTGACACTTTATATTTACATAAACCAACAAAGTTGTTAACGATCGTTAGTTTTTATTAACGTTGCCATATAAGGGTGGAAATGTCAGAATGATAATGATATAGAGTTAATTAAACCACACTTTCAAATTAAAATTAAACACTACTAAACTGACAGCATAATTTTGTAAAAAATGTTCAACACGCAATTTGGTTACTTCGTTAACTTAATTATGAATCGACGACGCATTTACTCTACAAGTGGAACGTAAAAGTAAAATCAATCAAAGTAATATTTCAAAAGGCTTTATCACTTTTTGATATCTAAAGAATAAAATTTAACTTTAAAATACCATAAGCGTGGCTACCTAATACGTTATTTTTATTTCTACCACATGCCTCTAGCGCTGCAGTTTAGTTTATAGAACTGTGAATTTATTTAAAAAACTGTTTCAGAAACATGTAAACACCCCCCCCCAACCCCCCCCCCCCGGCTCCAAAATCCCCCCCCCACCCCCCCCCCCCCCCCCCCCCCAGAGGCCCCCCCCCCCCCCCCCCCCCCGGAAGCCCCCCCAAAAAAACCCCCACAAAAGAAAAAAGGGGGAACCACCCCCCCCCCCCCCCCCCCCCCGGCGGGGGGGGCCCCCCCCCCCCCCCCCCCCCAAGGAGGGGGGGGGGGAAAAAAAAAAACCCCCCCCCCCCCCCCCCCCCCCCCCCCCCCCCCCCCCCCCCCCCCCCCCCCCTTTAAAGGGGGGGGGAAAAAACATTCTCCCCCCCCCACCCCGGGGGGGGGGGACCCCCCCCCCGGCCCCCCCCCCCCCCCCCCCCCCCCCCCCCCCCCCTCAACCAAGGGGGGGGGGGGGGGGGGGGGAAAGCGGGGGGGGCCGCCCCCCCCCCCCCCCCCCCCCCCCCCCCCCCCCCCCCCCCCCCCCCCCCCCCCCCCCCCCCCCCCCCCCCCCCCCCCCCCCCCCCCCGCCCCCCCCCCCCCCTGCCCCCCCCCCCCCCCCCCCCCCCTTCCCTCCGCCGGCGGGGGGTTTCTGAAAAAAAACCCCCCAAAACCACCCCCCGCCGCCCGGGGGGGGGGGGGGGGCCCCCCCCCTTCCGGTTAAAAAAACAAAAAAAAAAAAGGAAAAACCCCCCCGGGGGGGGCCCCCCCCCGGGGGGGCGGGGGGGGGGGGGGGGGGGGGGGGGGGGGGGGGGGGGGGGGGGGGGGGGGGGGGGGGGGGGGGGGGGGGGGAGGAAGAAGTTTTCTATCCTTAACGCGATGGTAATTATAAGAACTCAACGCTAAATTTACATTTGGAGATGTTGTGTGAGGTTATAGTTATTTTTAACGAAATTTATACCAAAAAAGAAAAATCTGTATATTGATAAATAAGCTATAAGATATCACATTTAGAATGTAACATTGAAACTAGGCCTCTATAAAGCGGAAGATTCCCAAATATAATTCCAAGGTTCTTTCAATTTTTTCCAACACTTTGATTGTAGAAACCAATTTAATTGTTGGAACATTTGATTTTGTAATAGATGTCTGGATTGGAATATTCCTATTTCCCGTACATTAAGGCCAAGGGACGCGCATATCCCTTTATGTTTATACGATTTATTATTACTTTGTTTTAAATGAAGATGGAAACCATGTTTTCCCTAAATCTGGTTAAAATAATCTTTTAAACTCCGTAACCCACCATATATTATTTTCATGTTTATAGATATAATTTTTACATATTATGTTAAATTCATTACCTATTCAGGAAGTTTCAGTTTCAGAATTTTGTTTTTGCGACAAATTTGGCGTGAATTGGATGATCTTTAGAAAAAAATAGCTTCAGTCCCTCAGAACAAGAATACTATCTACATAAATTTATATTAATGGACGAGTTATGTGTCTGTACACGCAGTACTGTTTTCTCCCTTCCGTGAATTTCACGCTATTATGAAACTATGTAATTGAATAGTGAATTAAGTGATTAGTCAGTCACCGGTATGTTTTACAAAGCATAATCTATATAACGACACTCAAGGTACCTATTAGGACGTTACAAAGAGTTGCCTTTAAATGGAAAGAATAACAAGTTTATTTCAGACTAGTGTTAGTAATTACATAAAAATAATTCGTATTTAAACGCTATTGCGTTGTCTGTTATTTTTGTACGGTACCAGTAGTAAGGTTGTATTTTTTTACTTATTTAATTCATATCTTGCGATATTAAGGTAACATCGTGATAAAGCACATGCAAGTATGCCCAATTTGTAAAAGAAATCACGGATTTCTTGGAAAGTTCGGTACGTATGACGAGTACCGACAGTCGAGTTTATTTCTCGCTAGGACAATAAAGCGACAAAACAACGTACAAAGCTCCTCCGTAGTTTTAACTAATTTCGGTAACTTAAAAAGTACTTTTTAGTGTTAATTGTTGTCGTTATTGAGGGTAGGTGTAATGCTATGTAGAGTGTATCATTGTATAAGACAAGCTAAACCAACCAGCCGAGTGATTTCGACGATTTTTAAGGGTTATTCGTTATATCGAAGGATGTTACATGGGGTTTACGCTGTATATATATAATCGTCATATTATTTAAAACCTCACTCACTTACCTATTGCCTCTGAATAGTTTATTGCTGAAGAACACGGTAACTTCTGGTATATCGAGACCGCCAGCAATAAGTAATGAAGAAACGAAATTGTCCGCGCCGTCGCTGCGTGGTTCAAATATTGGTATCTGAATAATATATAAAATCATAAAACGAACCAATATTTGTTAGTATACAGTAGTTTTTAATATAATAAAACTTAATAGTAATATAAAACAATTGGTAATAACACTTGCTTGTGTAACGCACGGAGAATAATTCCCTATACGCCGTTTGTCCACCGCTGCCATCACGTCACCAAAGATGGGGCATTTAGGATACATACATTTAATATGGACGTGTGTCCACCGCACGCCCGTCACCCGAGCGGCGTCATCCCGGCCGCCGATATTTCGAGTAGTTCGGCGTGACCGCTAGAACTCGGCGCGGTTTTATGACGGGCCGACGTGCCGGCTATACAAAACACGTTTGTTGTTGTCCACACGTGTTGTTCACACTTGTTTGCTTGTTGTTCCCACGAAAATGTAAGTCCGTGCTCTAATTTCACCATGCCTCCGGCTGATAGAGGACAAATCTTTGTTTTTAATTTATTTTATTATTATTTATTATTTAAGATGCCATGTGGAACATGGTGTATAGTTGCAGCTCCTTAAAAACTGAACTAAACTACTAATATATCTATAATTTACTTAGAACTGAGCCACCGATGTATCGGCGCGGTGGACAAACGATCGCCGTCACGTCATTTTAAACTCGGCCCCAAAAAATCTCGTTCTCGGTGACGTCACGGTGACCTCGGCGGTGGACAAACGGCCTTAGACTTTAAATTACATACGAAAGACAAAACCAAATAGCTGAAGAAGGGGAATGTAAAACAGGCAAAAGAGTAACAATACGATGGCGGGTTTCGTTAGATTGTGATTGGACAATCTGAATTGCGTGTTGTTCGCGCCGTCAAATGTTTTTCATTTTATAAATTATACAGAACAAAGATCCATTTTGATTAGTCAGTATAACTTAAAAACTAGTTCCTTCAACAAGAATTATTTAGAGCGATAAATAAATTAGAAACTTATAAAAGATAAGCCAAGACGCTGAGCACACTACACAGTGACCAGCTTCGCGACCCAAAAGACAGCCAATCCACGTCTCACCAGTACGTATACATTCTAAATCTTAAGTGGTACACAACGAGGGCAAGTCGTAGGAAAGTTACCACGTCTTTTTATTATTTATTATCGTAATGATTACTAGTATGTATGGAAACAACAATTCATTTAAGTAAATATCCATGTAAGGGAAAATACACAATAAATGTCCTGCGATATATACTTCAAGTGGGTATATATTGCGGTTATTAACTGTTGTTATTGTATTTCGGTGAACGTCGTGTCATCTACATATGTTTTTGTCAAAACTTGGTAGTTTTTTTGTTAAAACAGACCAAAGAGTTTGGACCTCATACTATAGCTATGAAACACACATTTCTGAAAGCATCTATAAGTAGAAAAAAAATTTTTTTTCCAAAAAGTCATCAAATATTTCCCAGCTAGGAACAGTTTCTATAAAAAAATTCAATTGTATTTTATTTTTATATTTTTACTTATTATTCATGTTTCCGATTAAACCTTCCCTGAACTTCTTCAACTATTTTAAGATTAGCCAAATCGGTACATTTTTTAAAAAGTTCCATCTCTTCATAATCGCTGAGTTTATTCTCAACAAATGTCACCATCAAGTCAATAACAAAAAACAAACGAGCATAATAAAAATTTAGTATTACGCATTCCACACGTAATTAAAACAATGTCAAATGAAATTCTCGGGCCATGTAATGCGACAATCGTTTTTATCTGACTATAAAAAGTTTGTTTTAACCTTAATTGCTTGATAAATTAATACACACCTGCGAACCGGTTAAGACGATGCACTTTCCAATATTTTCGAACATAAAGGAGAGAGCCGACGCTGTGTATGACAATGTGTCTGTTCCGTGAAGTACTACGAAGCCGTCATACTCGCCATAATATTTCTAAAAACAAAACCTTCATTTAATTTAAGAGACAATAATTAAAATTACTGAAATGATATCTCCAACCCTTATGCCTTTGGGAGCGTTCAAGTATTACGTCACGCAATTTTTGGCGATTATTGACACCCCCCATGTAACGCGCCGTAACGTACTGTACTGTAGGTACCCAAGTATAGTAAAACGTTTCGTAACCACCTAGAGGTAGTCTTTAAACCTAAAAGTTACTATTATGTGGTGTAAAGTACTGAAAAGTCGACCGTACCGTCCCGCATCGTAACGTTTTACAAAAGGACCTCCAACCCCAAAATTCGTTACGTAATACTTGAACGCTCCCTTTTCCCTGAAGAGTTAGACAGAGACCATGGATCCACTTGTTACGATCCTGGCATTCTCGATTCATCCACTTTCATGTAAAATACACCAAACCAATAAACAATAAAGTTAAGTCAAGAACTTATTCCCGGAAACACTTATAACTTGTACATAGTACAAAAACGTATAGACTAATGAAAAACACCCATAAATTGCGAAAGAACATGACACAGGAGACAATGCGGTAACTGGTAAACTGTATATATGGAATGTTATTATATTGTTATTCAAAAGATTAGATCAGATACAAAAATCAACGACGCGTGTCATGTATAGAAGGTTAATTACCTACTTACCAATAAAGGAATATGATTTCAAAGCGATAAATGCTGAAATGTGAGGTAAAATCCTATAAAGAAGTTATAGCGCTATTGTGTTAATATTAACCTTTTAGTTAAAAATACTCGTAAGCCTTAGCCTGTTGACATGGCTGATAATTAAAACTATATATATGATAATATTATTTTGTCCCATTCGGTGTCAAGACCCTTGGTTCGTGGTTTTCTAGCGCTATAAGGCTTTTTAAGGAAATAGCAAAAAGGTGAGTCGAAATCAAAAGTCGACCGAAGAGCTGGCAGCTACCTCGAAAAAAGATTTAGTCTAGCTTATCAAACTAACGCTACCAGTATCTTCGGAACCTTGCCTAAACGGACTCCTTTTAATTATATATTTTAGTTCTTATATTTTAAGGGTAGTTATTGTTTTTTGTTATATTAATTGCAAGAGCAGTGTTGGCCTAGTGGCTTCAGCGTGCGACTCTCATACCTGAGGTCGTAGGTTCGATCCCCGGCTGAACACCAATGGACTTTATGTTTATGTGCGCATTTAACACTCTCTTGTACATTGAAGGAAAACATCGCCAGAAGTTAGATCCAAATGTGTAAGGCACAGAAGGCTGATCACCCTCTTGCCTATTAGAAATAATAAATGATCAAGAAACAAAACAAATCTGAGGCCCAGACCTAAAAGGTTGTAGCAACACCAGTGATCTTAATCTTACAACGTAACAGAACATGAATTATTAATGATTCAACTCACACAAATAATGTTTGTTTATTCGCATACATCAACATATTAAGGAACCACTTTAGTATGTGTATGTGGATGTTTTTTATCGCGTATATATATATATATATATACTGTGTGTTCTGATATTGTTTTGTTTGTTGTTTTATAATCGCCATCTATGCCGGTAAATGTATATTTACTAGTTACTGTAGTATTAAGATAAATAAAAAAATGTGTTTATTCATTATAAGTAAGCATTGAATGTGTATTGTGTACCTAAAAACAAATACATATTTCAGGGTTTCCAGCTCTTCCATAGTAAACTTATAACTTAATACTTAAAGTTAATATTATGTGCATTACGCAACGCGTAGGAAACACGCGTGAGTGTGTTGGTGCATGTGAGCAGTTAGGTATATATGTACCTACTTATGAACATCAAATATTTGACCTACTACTTAAAGGTGCCTTCTGAAGTAAATCGCAGATGTAACGATAGTTATAACCCGAACTCATAAAACTCACCATTATATCCTCAGCGATTCGAATCCATTCCGCTTCAGTCATATCGGATGAGTCAAGTAGGTTTTCATATTCGATAATTTTATAACAAATTCGCCGATCTATTTCTTTTGCCTCTATAATATGAAAAAACATATTAACACTATACATTTCCCTCAAAACTTCATTCATGGATATCTAGAATTCACAGTTTCTGGATTTTTTTAAATATACCTATAGCAAAAGAGCAGAAGAGATCAGATCAGCGACCAAAGTAAAAGACATTATAAAGAAAATAAGGCAATTGAAATGGCGCTGGACTGGGCACATGACGAGAGATAGCAGGTTGAAATGGTCAAAAATAATTACAGAATGGCAACCACGCGATGGAAAAATGAAAAGGGGAAGACAGAGCAAGAGATGCGCAGACGATATAAAGATAATAGGAGGCACAACTTGGACAAGAAGAGCTAATATCAGAAAATAATGGAAACAGCTGGAAGAGGCCTACGCGTCACAGGATACGCTGACTACCTAAAACGGGTCTAGTGACGTATTAGATTAAGTTTTATTTATGTATTAGAATTAAGTGTTTTTTTTATGTAACTTAAATAATTGTTATTATATTGTACTGGGTGTTAGCAATAAAGGCTTAATAATAATAATAGCAAACCAGACACTATATTAAATAACCTTTTTCAAATTACCGCTAATTTGGGTTTTTTTCAATCGATTACCCTCCATTATGTGTATGTGTCAATTCCAGGTATTTTCAAAGCTGTCAATAATGATGGACACATTATCCTATTAATGTGTACAGCGTGTTTATTCTATAAATCTTCGCAGGTGAATGCAGAAAACGATTAGGACAGGAGACACCCAGCGATCACGCAAACTACGACTACCATCATGGTTAAGCTGTGAACTGATTGTTTTTTTTTTGATAGAACGGGACAAGGTATTGCTAGAAGGCTCACAAGTGCATTACCGGCCTTTTAGGAATTGTACGCTCTTTTCTCGAAGGACCCTAAGTCGAATTGGTTCGGAAATCCTTCATTGGACAGCTGGTTCCACATAGTTGTGGTGCGCGGCAAAAACTGACTTAAAAAACCTAATTGTGGAACGACGACGAGGTTATTACGGAATACGGCAGATACTCCTCTGAACACTCTCTGTGATTAATGCGATAGAAGATGCAGAGTGGCCCACATCTCTACGCAACGCCAAGGGAACAAGCCGCTCGGAAAGGGATTGGTCGTCGACGACTCGAACCGCTCTTCGTTGAATACGGTCCCGCCCAGAGGTGAGAACAATATTCCATGTGGTTTAGGACCACGTCGCCTTGCTGAGCACACCAAGCTTCTTAAAGCATAAAATAGCCTTCCCTTACATCTCATTCGAGATTTCTCATCGTGATTAGTCATTCTATTTGCCCCCAATAGATTGTGTTATAGTAAAATAAGGTAGAAGTAGTATATACTAGTTTGGAATATATCCCTTAACACTAAATTATTATTTTTTTCTAATAATATTTTATACAAACCTGGCAATACCATAAACGAATTATCAAAAGTAGCGTCGCTCAATCTCTGTCGCCAATATACGTTATCGTGTAGTTGAGGGTAGCCTCTTATCAAATTTTCAAATGCCCCTTTTTGTGGTATTAAAACTGAAATAGTAAGTAATTCTGTTATAAAATGGGGCAGCACTTATCTCGAAGCTAATCTTTTTACAGAGATATTATGTACTTATTATAATTTAATTTTCCAGAGCTGCACAGCATTGAATGGCTTGGATTGGTGATTTGAGATACTTTTATAGAGAAATTATTGTAACAGACTACATTTGCTATTTTTGCGGAAAACACTATGGCAGTTTAGTAACGAATATATACAGATATTTGTTAGTATGCGTTTAATTTTTTTTAAGCTAACTATAAAAAATTAGCCTGGTAGAAATAGTTGGTTTTTTTTATTTTATTATTTACGCATCGGTATGGCGGGCTGTAAATCACACCGGAGAAGTATGGCATGACACTACCGCCTCTTATTTTTTTATAGACTATCGGGAAATACTAGAATTTTTGTGGAACAAATCGTTTGACACTCGTAATTTACCCGACGTGTTCGAGTAACGCCCACGTTATTGGGCCGGTACCAGCGCTATGACCATCTTTTTTTTCATTGCGTAATAAGACCCCTGAAGAACGGCCATACTGGTACAAATGATCCAATATTTGGTGTCACTATCCCCCGGTCTAGGACGTCCGTCCCATCAAAGTAATGCAAGAGAGAGTTCACTTATATATGTGTACGCATTTCTGCATTATATCCTACTTACATCCTAAGTCCTAAATAGTGATAGATATAGAATACTCATTCTGAGAAGATGAACACATCAAACAAACAATACGTCCTAGCATCCGTTTCGTGTTATCATTGAAGAACAATATTTTCTTATCGGGTCTGTTAAATTAGCACATATTCTATTTACAACTTCAATATATTTTAGAACTAAAACTTGAGAAACATTGATATATCCCTCAAGTATAATGGACTTGGGAGATTGTCAAATCGAAGTTCGCAAATAAAAAGTGAAAAAAAAATTCAAAATTTACACCATTTTTACAAAAAAGTTTTGAACAAGACTAATAAAGTAATAACCAAAGTTGTTTTTAAAATTTTATGGATAAACCTTCATACAAAAAAAAAATAAGCAAACGTTCATGGAAGCCACATATGCTCAATTATATCAAGGTATACAACTGCTAAAAAATGCTTAAAATTAAACGCATAACAGACATTAATTGGTTATTATAATTGGTATTAACTAGTTAAATGATTAATAAAACAGCTGATGCGTACAACAACGCTGTCTGAATTTTGAATGACAATTTTATGCCCAGCTGTGTGTTTATAATTGTTCCAAAGAGTTATTTGTTTACCCGCTCTTGTATGGTATATTATATACATATTACCGTGGAATGCACTTAGCTATCGAAGTAAAAATCGAGTAAAAACTATTATGGCGTTTTTAATATGAATGCCATCAGAAAAATTACTAGAAAAAACAAGTCTCGCAACTCAGTTCTTCTATTGTAAAAAAGTTCTCTATGTAATACCAAAGACATTTAAAGTAACTGTCTTTGGCAATACCAAGTCGGTTAATTTATTCAGTTTCTTCTGGGACCTTCTGTCGTTATTACGAAATTGGCTAACATATCAACATCTTATAGTGACCATATATTAAAAATCTTTTATGTTTAAATATTATTATTCGTTATATTATAATCATATAAACTAAATCATTATATATTTTGAGTTTGAACTTTGCCATGTCAGGCTTCTACTCGTCGTAGGCTTTATTCACAATAGGGAGGTCAAAATGACCTGTATGTTTCGAGTAAAGGTATTTAAGCTCGACTAAGCCTAAAAGATATCAAGCTACGCGAACAATCGACTGTTAAATAAAACAATTAATATGACTTTATTTTTTAAATAATGTGGTGAAACGATTCCTTTTGAAAAATATATCAGTGCATTTATAGCACTAAAAAGTGTTACTTAAAAATATTGTTTATTTGTACTTAATTGAAATGCCTTGCCTAAGAGAATTAAATGTAGAGTTTACTTCTGTAGGGTATGAAGATCGTGTTAGGTTATTTTTTATAAAGATAAGTAAAATATAGATACAATTATCCTGTACTCATGCTAGTTTTCAGTTATAAATATTGTCCTGTCTCTCAAAAGTTCTAAATTTATGTATTTTTCTAGCATTTACAAACATTTTCTTTAAAAACGATAAAGATGAAAATACATACCTCCATTTTTACTTTCAAGCATTCCAATAGTTCCCCCGGTATATATCACCAAAACACGCCTATCGTTTCTGTTTATTTTTTTTACTGCGTAATTATTATCCATCCCATTTACAGATAATTCCAAAAAGCTTCTTGCTTTTTTCACTTTAGCAACTATTTTTGGACTAACACTGTTTGATTCACTACTTTCACTTTTAAGGTTAATGTTTTCCCGCGCATTTTTGCCAATTTCTCGTCCTGAAGTTGCGGTTTCCATAGCCACAGATTTTAAAAGTGCGCCAAAGAAACAATTATTTTATTTTTTAAATTCAGAACACATTCGCTATTCAATATCTACCGATGACAAATAACGAGCAAAGAGGTCGCTAACGAGAAACCGATGACCTTTTTGATGAAAAGCGGGCAGACGTGTTATGCCATACATAGACAATATAATTTATCTGTACTCTGTAGTAATAATGTATCACTATATGTTATGTATGACAAAGTTACGTAAAAAAATTTAGACATTATTCAATGCGTATTATTCATTTATTCGTTTTTGCACTTCAATATTTTCTTATTCGCACACAGCAATGAAAACTCATATCTCAACTCAAACTCATCGGTATTCAAAATTTCCGCATTAGTTACTAGTTTCAGTTAATAAGCGTGAATGTATTAATTTGTGATATAAGATGACCGTTTTCTTTTGTGATAAGGAAATTGCATCATAAAATAGTAATAACAACGCGATCGTTTCAAAGTATTCATTAAATAAATTTATTAATGTCATTAATTAACCTAAACGTTGTTTTTGTTATTGCGTAATAGGAAATATTTAAACTCAATTAAATTAATGCATTTACCTACATAGGTATTTCATATCATTATAACTGCGGCTGATTCGTCGTACTCACTTCCAACCTTACTTATCAATTCCGTGGGCATGTATTACATAATATTTGTTCATACATGTCCATAGAATATTTAACAATAATTATTTCTTTATCATAGGACGATTAAATTATTGTATATTGTGAGACGTGCATTTTTAAGTTTGTTTAGATTTAGCTGTCACACACTTCATTACGTATTTTTTACAATTTCGCACTCCATAATATGTATTATTTAGATTGATCATTAGCGATAAGGCTGCCCTTTATTTATTATGTAATTATTTTGCACCTTTACGTAAAAAAATATATATAAAGAAATCAAAAGCCTTTTTTTTATAAATAATATGAATTAGGAGACTTCCAGAGATAAACATCTTAACCGCTCATTTAACAACCACTACCCTATCGTTAATGATTTAATTAATTAATTAATTATTAACGCATCGTTTAACCGTAATAATGAAAAACTAATTGAAATGTATCATTCGCAACAGTGTGCAACGAAGAACCGAATACGATAGTGCTTTGTTAAGTGAATGGTAAAAAAATAAAAATGGTATTTTTGCTTTATTTTTTTATTAGCAACGCTCTTTTTTTGTTTTATCCCATTTACAAGATCTTTTAAATGTATCGGTTATCTTCTTAACTTTTTGGTGTACCCAGGATTGGGAATTTTACAAATAAAACTAAAATAATGTCGGTCCTCCAAGAGAAAATAATTATAATACGCTATCTAAGGCCCTTTTTCCCTTGGGTACAAAGATGTTTAAGAGTATATAATCTAAGAGTTAACATGACGATTTTTTTTGTAGATAAAAATTCCAAATCTAATAACTCAAAAACTGTATGTATTTCTTGCGTAGCTAATTTCTGTGGTGTATAGTGTTGATAAATATATGTATTTTCAATAAAGCCGCATTAAATTATGACATTTTACGTACATATAGTACCATAAGTATCGTAAAATATGAGATACATTTTGACGAATAATTTTTTTAGTGATGTAAATAAGAAACTAAAGTTTCATTGTCAAGCAAGATTAAAAAAAAGCGACTCATAACGTCTAGTGACACTTGACACCCTTGGTAAAGTAATATAAAAAAACATAGGTCTACGTATATTTACAGAGGTCTGAATGTCAGTCAACCCGTAAGCATTGTATACTTATTAAGCGCGCGATTTGGACGGTTTTAAATTTAAAAAAAAATAGTAAGGTGTTGCAATATGTTAAAACTATTTTGAATGCGTGATACCCGTATCAATAAATGATATGTTTGATTTACTATAGTCAGAAAAATACCCATTACAATCTTCCCCTACTTTCAACAATTTGCATTCCAATATTATAAATTATAATACAAAAATATATTGGATGAAATACTGATACTTAAATTTCAACCAAATTAATTGTATGTGTTTCAATTTAAGTAACTTAATACTTCAATCTACAATTAATAATATGTTTCAGGACATGTTCAACATTTATGGACTCGTAGCTCCAGTTTTTACTCCACTCGATGAAGATGGCGAAATCAAGTTTGACGTCATCCCAATATACGCGAAATATCTGGCGAAGGAAAACATTACTGGAGTTTTGGGTGAGCTCCAACTAATTATTGCACATTTCCAATTATATTATTATAGGTTTATATTATTAATTAGTGAATGGAAAATGGGGAGAAAATAGACAGAAATCATAGTTCACGTTGAATCTTACTTACCCTGTATAAGACCTGGTCTACTTAACTGTATGTATTTTATTGATATTTATTCGTCGTGGCAATTCATGCTTTCGCGTACTACGCCGTCGATTTTCGGATAGTCAAGTAAAAAAGCATTTAAGGCAGTTTTTAGAAGCATTTAATGTATATTTCTTTTTTGACGTTCATAAGTGTACATTGTGTTACCTATATGAATTAAGGATTTTTTACTTTACTTTTGCCGCGCGCCACCGCTATGTGGAACCACCTGCCCACTGAAGTATTTCCGAACCATTTCGACTAAGGATAAGAAAGGAGCGTACGAATTCTTGAAAGGCCGGCAACGCGCTTGCGAGCCTTCTGGCAATGTCAATGTCCATGACCGGTATCACTTAACATCAGATGAGCCTCCTGCCCGTTTGCCTGCAATTACATACAAAAAATAGATATTTCCATTTTCGGCATCTTAGGGGTCCGTCAATAATGATAAAATAAGATAATTTATTTAGCTTATTATACATAGTAGAGTTCAGATTAAGGCTTCCCTAGTATGTCTCTTCTTTAATTAACATGTTGTAATGTACTTAAGTTAAAGTATTGATGTCAAAAGTGAAAAAAATCAAAAGTCAAAAATCATTTAATCATATAGGTAACACAATGTACACTTATGAACGTCAAAAAAAGAAATGTATATGAAATGCTTCTAACTTTACATTTAGTACCAGTTATCAAATAAATAATAACATAAATTAAAAACAAAGCTTTGTCCTCTATCAGCAGGAGGCATGGTGAAATAGGAGCACGCACTTACATTCTCGTGGGAACAACACGCAAACACATAGTCGAAATAACTAACATCACATACACGAATTCAAGTACATACGAACAGTCACCACAAGTAGCACCCGTTCACGAGTATGACGCATGGCCAGCCATCGGTGCCCTCGCCATATTTTAGACAACCCGACGCATGGACGCCGCCACAAGCAATGACATTTAAGCGAGCATGACGATCCTTAAAATGTGAACTTGGCTACATAAGAAAATAATAATAATACTACTTATACTGAAATAATTTGATACTACATGGATCACGGTTTGTTCCCACTTTACATTAAAACAGTCATGGATGTTGACGATCGCCTCAGAGTCTGGAAATGCAGCCGAGAGATTCAGTTGCGTTACCTATTTATACTGGAGCAATTCATATCCAAGCACTAGGATCGTTTAAATATTCATTTATATTAAATAGGCCTTAGCCAGCCGTTTTACTTTAATGTACGATTTAAATGTATTATTGTCAATGCATAGGATTCACACCCTTCTTCGTAAAGTAATCATAATTAATTAATATTTAAAATAGGGCCTGATAGCACCGGTGATCCCAGAGCTGGTTTCGTCACTCATACCAACTCTTACAGAATGTTCCCCCTAGAACCAACTTCCCTACCCTAAATATCGATTGAATCCCCAAAAGTTTTTGAAGTGAAACTTCTTTATCGAGGTTGGAAAAAAATTTAGTGCAACATTTTTCGTTACGCGTCACATTTTTCGGTTACGCGCCATGTTGCTTTTTGAAGTCAAACTTCTTTATCGGCGTTGGAATGAAACTTCTTTATCGACGTATGGGAGAAATTTTGTAGCAAATCGTCACGTTTTTCAATGATAGTAATAATTCTATTACAATTAATGAAATTCTATAATAATCTTCGTAGTAATAAGGTAAAATGAAATGAAATGATTTGTATTCATGTCTATGATAATAAAAGCCTTTTGTTAAACTTTATCTAATTTAACGAATTTCTATAAAGTTGCATATAGTAGATAATTTTTCGAAAAATAAGATCATAAATAAGTTTCACTTCTTACGTGTGTACACCTAGTACACGCACAATTTATTTATTTTGTACACTCGGTTTAAGCGGTAATTTCAAATGTGCATCAAAAATACATTCAAGTAGTATAATAGTATACAATTTCGATCGTGGATTAAAGCTTTTGATATTTCAGTTACTACGGTACGCATGCACGCTATTATATTCACGCTTTGTGTGGAACATATTATTTGGTTTATTTTGTTGATTGGGTTCTAGACTTAATATAAATTGTTTAGAATCGTGCGTTTAAAAAAAAACTTAACCTTGTTTAAAGTGCTCTCTAGAATGTATCTCCTTAAACCCCATTTTAGACATCTTAATTTTTGATGATTTTAATGATTGAATTTGGGGGAAAACCCTGCCCAGGATATCGCATTACAGAGAGGAAACCAGGGTAAACTTTTTGAATTTATTTTAGTATTCAATTTTTTTTTTTTTTAGAGAATTAAATAATAATGTGAGAAGTAAATTTTAACTGATCACATTTATAACTGGTTATGAACTATTTTATTAATCCTTAATTGTGTAATTTGAGTATAATTTTAATTTCTTTTTATAATTATACCAAGTTTAATCAACTTTCACCTAATTTGGAAATAACACAAAGAAACAATTAGTGGGGCGTTTACTTTGCAAAAACAAAACAATATTTACAAAACATCTCTTAGCTATTGGTAATTAGTCATGCAATTACGGCAAGAAAAACTTCAGTCACGGGTAATAACCTCAATTATTCGTTACATAGTAGAGATGGCCGACTTTTGTATGAAAATGCGTTCAAAGTCACTATTAGCAGTATTGCTTTATTATTACTTTGTATTCTACTGAATTGTAATCACGATTTTTTAGGTGTAGTGTATTTTATAGTGCATTTACAATGTCAGTTACAAAATTTTAAGCAATCAGTCTTGCGTCATTGGATACGGTATAATTGAGCGTTGAATTTTAGCATAATTTTACTGAAAATGAATTTTAGTATAGTGAACTTATTTGGTTTTAATGAGGTCAACTTAATGAAGTCAATAAATCGAATAATAATAATAAATATATTTATCGAATTCGATTCCATTCGATATAATGGAATAATTTAATATTCGCTGTTCCCTGGCGTAGAGGAAATTGGAATTACAACCTATATGTCATTTAATAATTATCACACATTTAGTCGCAGACACCAACGACCGCTTAGGGTGAGATGTTGTACAATGCAATACAAATACATCTCATATTGTACTGTTTTTCCAAGTAACAAGTGATAGGAATACATTTGGTGTCTGGGGCCTAATTTTTATTCGATACTGATTAAGTATATAAAATAAATCGCACCACGGGTCACTGAATTTTCGAAATATATCACGAAAAAATATGTTAGCAGATAGCTCTATTTAATTTTTCATCAAAAAGTCGAAATCTATGTACCTATATAAAACGTGGTTGTTTTCTCTTCTTGTAATATACCATGCTTCATTAATTATAGTTGGTGGGACAACGGGCGAATTTGCGTCCTTCAATACGCAAGAAAGGAAAGAGTTGGTGGACGCTTGGTTGAAGGTTGCCAGGCCTCTGAACTTAAAAGTCATTGTCCAGGTCGGCGGAGCATCTTTGCCTGACGTCATAAAAATGGTGAGTTTTTATCAATTATTTTTATGTGGCGACTTGGAGTTGATGTTTCGACTTTCGCTTTTCCAGTCGCTACACATTTCCCTCAAAATCGTGGGATATAAAATCGTTACAACTAATAGTTCTTGTATACAATATTCTTAACCTACATATTAATAATAATAGTTAATAAAAACAAAATTTAAAATTTAAAAAGTTTGGGTCCCTGTGGCAGAGGAGTACGTACCTTTAACGCTGGCAGCATTTCCTCGCTGTATTGCGATACATTATTCGTTGAGCTATGAAAGCACCAGCTTTGGGGTCACCGGTACTATCTACCAGGCACCAACTCAAATCTTTAATTAGTGACTGTGCACTTGAACCCCACGGCCCGTCTCTACTCCAAAGGGAACAAAATCAAAGTTGGAGGAAAGACTCTTATATTTGAGCCATTTATTATTTTCCGCCTTCTCGATGGCCGCGACAGCTTTTGCTGTTGACCGAGACGTAGTTAGTTGTAGCCTAGTTCCTATTACTAGGCATAAAACAAAACAATATATAACAGCTTCGTATCTCTATAGATGATTTTAAATTGAATATTTTTATTGCAGCAACAAAACTTTGCGTATTTTGTATGTAAGCAACGAGTGAAGGTTAGGTTCTATTATATACTTCAAGTTAATTCCTGTATTAATAATATAATAGATAACTAACTGTGTTTAAAATGCAGATTAATTATTATTTTTAAATTTATTTATGAGGCCCAACACGCCGAAGAACGAAAAGTAGACGCAATAATGACCCTGCCGGAACTCTACTTCCGTCCCAAGACCGCTGAGCACCTAGTCTCCTACTTAGAAGTCGTCAGTAAGGCTGCACCAAGTCTTCCTTTACTGTACTACCATTTTCCTATGATGACTGGAGTAAATTGTAAGAATATATTTATAATAATAGTAATATTATTTATAACTACATATTACGTTACGTTAAAACGTTACGATGCGGGGCGGGTACTTTACACCACATAAAAGGTAAAATGTTACCACTGGGTGGTAACGAAACGTTTTACTATCCCAGTCCCCAGTAACGACATGGGGGGAGGGCGATCAAGTATCTCCAAAAATTGCGTGACGTAATACTTGAACACTCCCTTAGCTAATATGCAAAAACCATTTCCGGTGCGTAGTTGGTGGCGAATTGTATTACATTACTGATTGCATGGAAATGAATACCCCATTTCCATTAATTTACTGTAAAAATTCTAAATTCAGTTCATAAATACCTTTCCTAAATCGACTGTCGAATATAATCATTTAAAAAGTTGAATATTTATTTAACAGTAAACGTTGCTGAATTCTTCACGCTGGCATGTAGGCGAATCCCAAACTTTATGGGTTTGAAAGCCGACCTGCATGATGCAACACAACTTGCAGACCAGCTCAAGTGTGGAAAATTAACATATATTGCTAATCATGTGAGTTGTCTTATTTACTTTAGCAAAACTTAAATTTTACACATGGTATGTAATTTAGCGCAAGTTATTTTTAATTAAACTTTTTTTACAAGAGATCGTTATCAAGCCCAAATAATACCTTTTCAAAAGCTCTTTCGTTGTTATTCATACACAGTCAATTTGATGTGGGAATAGGCGGAGGTGTAATTAATTAATTACCGTCAGTTTTATTTAAATTTAAACCAAAACATATTTTTCGTATATCATTATAACTTTTACCATAGTTTTTTGTTAGTTGTACGTTACCGTTACGGTAACTCTAGGACACCTATATTGATAATCGAATTTACGAGTAAAAAAAGAGACTCCAGAACTCCTTTTAATAATATATTTTAGTTATTATAATTTATGGTAAGTTATTGTTTTTAGGTAAGAAAATTGTTAATAATAAAAAAGAGATCACTTTGACATATCAATATAATTATTTATGCAACTATCATACGAAATATGTAATACATTTACGCGAGTATTAAACTTTAAAAAGATATAATCTAATCTAATAAAACACTATTTATCTTAAAATGCTTAGAGCAATAAGAAATATAATAGTTAATAAGCTAGCGGGAATCGACTCCCAGTGGAGAAACACTTCGCGCATGGACATACGATCTCAAAGTATTTAAAAACAGCACACTCCTCCCTCAAAACCCAACATGGGTGTCGATGTCCTGCGATAGTTGCCTTTTATAAAAAGAAAAAAGTTGTTCTTAAAATAGGACGTACCTATAGTCTAAGTAGTTACCTCAATTTTTTATTTTTTAGATGCTTGGGCCGTCAGCTTTAATGGGCCATGACTCCAGCATCGCAACGGTAAACAATATATTCCCATCTCTAGTGAAAGACATCGTTAGGCTAACTAAATGCGGTGAAGTGGATAAGGCTAAGAAACTGCAAGATAAACTCAACTCTATGGTTAACGGGATATCGTGTAACGGTAAAGCATTAAAAAAAACTTATTTTCATAATTTTTTTATTATAAGTATAATAATTGCAACAAATAATAACGATTTCACCATTATGTACCTACTTATTACATCTTTAAGAAAACTTTCTAGTCGGCTCATCTGATGTTAAGTGATACCGCCACCATAGACACTCACATTGCTAGAGCGCTCGCGTTGACGGCTTTTAAGGAATTGGTACGCCCTTTTCTTGCTTAAGTCAAATTGGTTCGGAAATACTTCGGTGACTAGCTAGTACCACATAATGGTGGATACGGATGGAATTTCATATTCTGCCTCGAAGTATTATATATTGCCGAGTTAAATTGAGCAATTCTTTAGATAAATATGTCTCTTATGTCTACCATTACAGATAGTTTACGATGATTCAAGTAAAGATTCAGCGTCAGAAACAGAAGTATTTTAAACATACTTTTATATATTTTGTACTTGTAGGAGACTTTGTACCTTGTATGAAAGCGGCAATGGAGGTAGTGACAGGAATCAAAGTGGGCCCACCGAGAATGCCACAAACACCTCTTAATGAACCACACAAGAAACGCGTTGAGGATATATTGAAAATGTATAAATATTAAATTAAGTAACATAACATTTAGATCGACGGCTGTTTTGTTTATATTTTACGTTATCCAAGAAATTTTATTGTTATATTTCAGGGTGTATTTTGTGCTCACATTTCTTCATGTATACCTTTTAAATCTGTATTGTATTTCATTTATAAACAATTTAAAAAATAAGATAATTAAAAACATTTATGCTATTTTATTTTAATGTTATTTTCATAGAACGTGGCTATAAAGCCTATTGGTATTTCTTTTGACTAAGCACCGGTTAACAAGGTTGCTTTGTTGTAAGGTAAATTTTCTAATGCTTTGGTTGTCGTGACAAAGACAGATCAGCTGGCCTCTAATCGTAAGATTCAGAGTTGTGAGTTAGCGCTTAGTATGACTCGTGTAAGTCAAATCAAAATTTAAAAAATGTTTTAAAACGACTAAAGGGACACCTTTTAATAATGGGCGTGTTTGGCCGAAGTAAGTACTTACTAAATTTAGTAAGTCACTTACTATGCTTACAAAATTTTCGGCCGGGACACAAAATAAGTGCTAACGCAGTAAGTATGGCTTAATATACGACGCCATTTTGCTTATTGTTGATGTAAACAAAACGGACAATAAAATATCCAATAAAATATTTCTCATAAAATTATCCATCACAGGTATTAAATTATATTCCTAAATTTAGTACTGTCAATTATATTCAGTCTATGAGGTTATGTACGGGATATGACATAAACCGGTGTTTTGTGTTATGTTAATAAGCCAGTAAGTCTGTCCTGGCCGAAAAGCGCTACAGTCAGCTTGTAAGACTTTAATTTTTTTATGCTTACTGGCTTACTAAGTTTAGTAAGTACTTACTTCGGCCAAACACGCCCAATATTTTTTAGTTATTATATTATATTTATCTATATTTAAATAAATAATTGTCATAGATGATTTAATTGTTTAATAAAAATGTCAACTTTATTAATAACAATCATGAATTATGTCAATGTCAAATTTCATTTATTCAATCATCTTAAGTAGTTTCAATCGGGCAACTATTCTATTTCTTGATTCTGTCGAGATTGGTTGTTGGGGCAAAGCTGGTGGTCCCATTGTCAGACCTGATGCAATCTCCATTCCAAATTTCATTATTGGAACCCAGTCACCTAGTAAGCAGAAGATCGAAAAATATATTGGTAAATTGCAATTATTCCACATGTCAAGATAATTTCGTCATGATCGTAGAACAATGTCGGATTTGAAAATAACCAAAATCCACTTTTTATATATATTTCGATACTACATTGATTAAATACATTACAGTCGGTAAAGTGACGGATTTGATAGACGCTCATAGAAGCATTTTTCTAGAAAACTGTGTAATTTAATGTTATTATTTTTTTTTTTTTAAACAAACCCTTTTGTTTGCTTGTATGCCAATTTTCATAATAACAGAATGTGAATTTAAAAAGTTATGACAAAAAAACTAACACGATTATATTATTTTGAAATGGCTGCCCTGTAATATATGTCAGATCCGTCACTATTCTTCAACTATGACGATTTAATAATTTCGTTCATTCAAGAGTACATTGTCACGTGCTATATGATTTATTTATTTTAATTAACCTATGGTTTTCTCAAATGTAGGTGATCAGTGTCTCAAATGTCAAACGCAAGCATTTGACATTTCGTAGCAAGACGTATAAATTTTGACACATGAAACTATAATCGCTTCACGCAAACGCTTTAAGCAACGCATTTATTTAGGTCGCATTGACCTCTGGGGTTCATACTTGTCGTATAGCTCGATACGATAATTGGTGAGACCAGATGCCTGATTTCACTACTTGCCTTAAGAAAGAATCGTATAAAATGTAAACATCTCGACCGAGTTTTTTTTTTAAAGTTTGATACGTGGCGCTGTAGATAAGAAAATGACTACTAACTTCTAACGGGTTTAATAGCTATCAAGTACTATTTATGTTTGTTAAGTAACCCGTACCTCTGGCGTGATAAAGTGGCAATCTTAAAAAAATTTAAATTCCATATCTTAATTTTAAATAAAAGCGTTAATATTTAAATAAATTTTACTATACTCTGATTTTTTATTCCGTAGAATTCTGTCATTCAATTAGTGTTGCTACTAAAAAAGTTCTCCATCGAAAAAGGGACAAACTTGACTTATTTGAGGGCAATAAAAAAATTGCTACGTATTTTTTATTATTGCAATTTTATCTACAAAAAGGTAAATCTAAATATTTACTTACTCAAGTGACCTAATGCAAAAATAACAAATATTTAAATATCACGAACAATATAACGAATTAACTTTAGTTACTTTATTTTATTCTTTAGCTGGCATCACTGCCTACAAATTCCAGGTTTAGTAAACCTTTTAAAAAAATAAAATTGTATCTTTACTTGTGCGTTTTTTACTGTTTGTGATGAAAAGGGACGTAATTATCACTTTTAATGTGGAGCATCGCACTTAATAAAATTGATACATTAACCAACAATAAAATGTATGTATAGACTCAGATGTTCAGACTCGTATTGAAATTGAAAAATGTGCCCGGCCAAAAAGGTTTGCCATCTCTGACATATCAAAAAATGATAGCCGTCAGAATTCTACAGAATTAAAAATCTGAGTATAAGGATGTAAATATTAAATAGATTTTGTTCCAGATTAGTAAAAAATCTAAAGTCTATTGTAATATACCTTCAGGCAAATGAGCTTCTATGGCCAGACTAAGAGTTCGTTGCAGCGAATTAGCCTTTTTAATATCACCGTTTTCCACAGCATCCAGTATATTTTGAGCCAGCTTTGGGAATAAATTGAACGATGTTCCGATACTAGACTTGATACCAAGGAGTGCAGCTGGCGCTAGTAACTGAAATATTAATTTATACAACAATTAAATGGCAGTGCAACCTATAATGGGCCTACTTGATCTGAAATTTCTGAATATAGTAATTATTTTTATTTACGCCAGCCTTCTGTGCCTGACACGTCTTCTCACGTCTCACGTCACGGTTTATCTGCGATGTTTTCCTTTCCGAACAAACTATTTGTGCACATAGAAAATTCTTTATGTACAATACTGGAATTCAAATGCTAGGCTCAAGCTTGATAGTCGGATGCTATTACTGCCATACTAAATGTAGCGATCATTTCTGACGGTAGTGCAGCTACGTCTCCCGGATCCATGTCTCCTGATGTAACCTCCAGTATTTTGGAACCGTCGGTATACTCGTTGCACTCGAAATCGGCTGATGTTCAGTTGCCGAGCAACTTCAAACCTGCCGTAGTCGGGTTTGCAGAAGGGCCATCACTTGAGCTGCTTCTTCTGCCATGGTATCCATTTTCACTGGGTTTTTTCCTGTCGAAGCTCTTCAGGTGTGACCTCTGTGACATTTGGATAGCGAATGACCCATAATTGACTTTTGCCCCCTCCTTTTATACGCGTCCAGGTTGGTACAATTAGTGAGCCTCCAAACGCGTACATCGCTTTTTAATCAAATAGCTGGCGATTTGTGGTTTTTGATTTTCCGTAAACAAATATTTTTTTTTTAAAGCTTATTAATTGAGCTTTTTAATGATACTAATAATGATAGGGTACAGGAAGGATCTTAGGAGTTATAATCGCTTGACACGAATTTTAGGAAAGGTGCGATTTTTTTGACGCCGAGTGTAGTATTCTTACCGTATCAGCACCAAGAAACATCTCCTGGTCTTCCTTCAGATTGTGTTTAACTTGAACACCTTCGCTTAGATCATTTGACGTGAATTTAATCCCCTTGAAGTTTGGTATTTTAGAAGTGGCCTCTGTTACAAAGGCTGGCATGTTTACTGGAAATGCAAATTTAGTTTACAATAACAATTTTAATACAATACTATTGTAAAAGTTTAATGGCCTAACGTAAGTATTGAATTAAAAACATTGGTTTATAATTATCTGATTGATTAAAGGTCCTATTTTGGATGAAAAATTTGTCTTCATTGATATCCCTTTTACATATTTATATCCTTTTAATTTTCAAAGGAACTGTAATCTCAAGATTGTTATTCTATTGTCTGTTGGGACCATAGATAGCCAAGACTAATAGGACTCTACATCTCAAATCTTATTTAAATATACATACTTTCTACTTTACTCATACTAGGTATATGGTAGTAAAGGACAGGAAGATTTGGCGCAGCATTCGACACCAGTTCCACATAGTTCACCAACTCCGTAACTGTCTTTGGCTTGAAGTACAATTCAGGTAGGGTCAGCAGAGAATCCACGTTTGCTGATGCGCAGAATTTTGCCTAATTTTATATAAGAATATTGCATTAGAATATTACTACAACATGATTGATTTTTTTTTTCAATTGTTTAATGCTTTTCGAAGTCTCTCGCATTCGCCATCAGGTTGTCAGGTTTGATATTATGAGCCTTTGGAGATTTTTTTATTTAGAATAAACGAGCACAAGAAGGCTCATCTGAGGTTAAGTGATATCGCTGCCCATGGCTACTCTTTGCCAGAAAGCTCGCAAGCGCGATGCCGGCCTTTTAAAAATTCGTACGCTCTTTTCTTGAATGACCCTAAGTCTAATCAAATTATAGTTATTTAAACCAACACTGTAATCCCTCCTATAACACGTTAGATTGGTGCCGCATTATATGGAACGTGTTGTAGGAGTATTCTCGCATAACGCGCTTGTATGACCCCATATAACGCGTTATGTACAAATAATGTAAGTTTATCTTTCTTCGTTTAAATCGAATATTAAGAAAAAACTATATTATTAACAACATATATACCAGCGTTGCCAGATTTCTTTTTAGTCAAGTCGGGATTTTGGCATTTTTAAAGTGAAAAAAAGCGGGATTGATTTGTCGAAAGCGGGACATAGTAAAAAAATAAAATAATCAGAAGTTTCAAATATTTATGTTTTTAGTTGAGTTCAAATCACGTTTGCGTGACAATAGACAGCGACAGTCACAGAAAATGTATTTAAATCAGATTAAACCTATCCTTAAATAGTTCTTATTGATCTTCTGATTGCAAAACAAAAAAATCAAAATAAAAAAGTTTTTTTTATTAGAAAAATATAGCGTTTCAAACAATACTCTGAAGAGTGAGTGTTTCAAATTGCAACTTACAATAAGACAGTAATTATTTATAAAAATTACTTATTCATAATATTTCTATGAAGATATAACTTCTTTAAAAGTTTCATTTTTCTCTTTAAAAAAGACCTTTTTATAGGATAACTGCAGATTAAACTTGATGAGTAACTCTGATTTCATTAAATTTACGAAGCATTTCAAAAAGAAGACGTTTTGGAAAGCAATTTGATGGTAGGATACTTAATATAAAGTTTGAAGATAATCCTGGTACTTTTTTTTGGATACTGTTGAAAGAGTTGGTACCATTATTGTGCGGTGGTGGTAGTACACACTTCTTATTGCCATCGAGTTATTCCCGAAAAGCGGGACTAAGCCTGTCCCGCGCGGGACGTTTCATTTTGATTTAAAAATCGGGACGTCTGGCAACGCTGATATATACGTACAAATCATTATAAATGTCACATATATGTGAAATATAATGCGTAAAATCCCCGCGTTATATTGGGTAATACCCATGTTATATGAGGGACTGAAATCGCGTAATATAAAAATGTGTTATAAGAGTACCGTGTTTTACTGTTTAATTATAATCATACCGAACACATTATAGGGACATATTATATTATTGCACGAGCGTTTTTTTTTATTTTGAGTTGATTTATTAAATTTTTTCTTAGCATCACATTTTTACCATGTTGCTTTTTGAATCAAATTCTTTATGCTTGAATGAAATTTTTATGATATGGGAGAAATTTTGTAGCAAATGTCACGTTTTCAATGATAGTAATAATTCTATTACAATTAATGAAATTCTATAATAATCTTCGTAGTAATAAGGTAAAATGAAATATTTGTATTCATGTCTATGATAATAAAAGCCTTTTGTTAAACTTTATCTAATTTAACGAATTTCTGTAAAGTTGCATATAGTAGATCATTTTTCGAAAAATAAGATCATAAAGAAGTTTCACTTCTTACGTGTGTACACCTAGTACACGCACAATTTTTTTATTAGAAGAACATATGAATTAAATAAAGCTAAATGCAAGTAGTGACGCAATAAGCAACAGGTGATATTGCCGCGCAAAAACATTTATGTTTAAAGCGATTAAAAATTCGTCTCCAGTGTGGAAACTAAGTTTGATTCATAGGAAAATATGGCTGATATGAACAGGATTACCTATTCTCTAAAACAAAATGATCGGAAAACCTAACGCATTTGAAATAATTATTTTTAAGCATAACATTACCTCACCGTATCACTCGTGTTTACATAAATACGTTGTTATCACTTTTTGATAAGGAAATTTAAAACAATAACAATACAAAAACGGTAAACACTGGAGGACGTTTAAATTACATTATTTTAAGTTTATAACAAAATAGCTATCGGAAAGATTTGTATTAATTAGAAAGACAATTAAATATTAAAATTATTTCGACAAACATAGTATATATATATATAAAGACTGCCTAATGCTCAATAAGATTATCATTAATTCCATATATGTATTTCCAATTTTATAAAAAAATAAATTTTCTGAGAATTTAGGACAGATTGCATTTTTATCAGATTTTTTTTAAATGATTTCATTTTATATATTACCAATTCTAAGACATCAGCCATTGGAGCACCACCGACTTGGACCATGATGTGAAGACCACTTCGAGGTTTGGTTTTCACCCATGCTTCTATAATTTTCTTTCTATCGCTAACAGACAAAGACATATGCTCCCCAGTTGTGCCGCCGACTGTAATAGACATGAGTAATTAAATAACAAAAAGCATTTGTTAATATGAAATAAAAAATAACTCTTTTAACTTTTTTTTTGAAGTGAAACTTCTTTATCGAGGTTGGAAAAAAATTTAGTGTAACATTTTTTCTTTACGCGTCACATTTTTCGGTTACGCGCCATGTTGCTTTATGAAGTCAAACTTCTTTATCGGCGTTGGAATGAAACTTCTTTATCGACGTATGGGAGAAAGTTTGTAGCAAATCGTCACGTTTTTCAATGATAGTAATAATTCTATTACAATTAATGAAATTCTATAATAATCTTCGTAGTAATAAGGTAAAATGAAATATTTGTATTCATGTCTATGATAATAAAAGCCTTTTGTTAAACTTTATCTAATTTAATGAATTTCTGTAAAGTTGCATATAGTAGATAATTTTTCGAAAAATAAGATCATAAAGAAGTTTCACTTCTTACGTTTGTACACCTAGTAAACGCACAATTTATTTTTTTATATAGAACAGGGGGCAAACGGGCAGGAGGCTCACCTGATGTTAAGTGATATGGCCATGGACACTGCCGGCCTTTTAACTTTTTTTTACATTTAACTTTTATTTAGTGCAAGCATTTTTTTGCTCTCGGTGAATGAAATTCATGTAGTTTTTAGATAAAAGAGTTATGAAAAATTTATGAGAGTGAAATTTTACGATGCGCGCGCACCGTCACACAAAATTATCAGTATGGGCGCCGAGCGTGCGCGAGCGAGATGGAAATAAGACAATATACAAGTAAAAATAAATAGAATATGCGTGACGTTAGCAGCTATGCCAAGAATTTTGAATGACCATAATGACATTTTTAGTACCTTTTAAACAAATAAAGGAGTTTTAATTATTTTTTCAAAGAAATTTGGCAATGCTTTTTCACAAAGACCTATTGTTACTTAGTTAAAAGGTTATGAAACATACCTAGTTATTAAATTAAATTAATAATATTATAAAATAATTATTATTATTAATATTAATTAATAATTGAATAATATACTAAATATTAAATAGTGTTAAATTATTAACGCTAAATATTTATTATTAATTATTTAATATTTAAAAAAATAAAGAAAGCCAAAGAAGTATAACTTCTTACGCGCGTACATAAGTACACGCACCATTTTGTTTTATAATACGTAAGACGGACGAAAAACCTTATATTAATAAATGATGCAAACATACTATTTGGAATAATTTCTTCTAACAAGAAGAGATCGCTTATCATGCACCTTCCCACCCCCCCCCCCCCCCCCCCCCCCCCCCCCCCCCCCCCCCCCCCCCCCCCCCCCCCCCCCCCCCCCCCCCCCCCCCCCCCCCCCCCCCCCCCCCCCCCCCCCCCCCCCCCCCCCCCCCCCCCCCCCCCCCCCCCCCCCCCCCCCCCCCCCCCCCCCCCCCCCCCCCCCCCCCCCCCCCCCCCCCCCCCCCCCCCCCCCCCCCCCCCCCCCCCCCCCCCCCCCCCCCCCCCCCCCCCCCCCCCCCCCCCCCCCCCCCCCCCCCCCCCCCCCCCCCCCCCCCCCCCCCCCCCCCCCCCCCCCCCCCCCCCCCCCCCCCCCCCCCCCCCCCCCCCCCCCCCCCCCCCCCCCCCCCCCCCCCCCCCCCCCCCCCCCCCCCCCCCCCCCCCCCCCCCCCCCCCCCCCCCCCCCCCCCCCCCCCCCCCCCCCCCCCCCCCCCCCCCCCCCCCCCCCCCCCCCCCCCCCCCCCCCCCCCCCCAACC